TCCTTTGAAGGGCTGGCATGGTTAATGAAGCATTCACGAGGGTAGAGACAGATCCAACTACAGCAAAGGTAGGGCTACCGTATGAAAACTATGAAAATAGCAACCAAAATGAATGCTCCGAAAATGCCTTGAAGCCGGTGAGATCGACTACGCGATTATATGGCACAAGGAAAATAAAAATGCATTTGTATTGTCACACCATGCATTTCGACATCTCGATGTATGCTGCGCTTCTTTTCGAATAATATGTAAAGGTCTTTTTTCAATCAATAAATGTTGAAACGGATTACGAAAAAAAAAATTACAATTCTGTAGCAATTGATCCAATCGGCTACTATGCATTTTTTTCTATCTTCTTGTTGCATTGGGGATGAGTAATGCTCTTTATTCCCAATGAAGATGAAAACACAATCTACGTAGCGTTAATATGACATTAAATGATATATAAAATTAAATAAGTCATTTAATTTCACCTTTCATTTAATCTATTATTTAATGCCATATAAACTGTGTTTCCAATAACATTACTCAAGTATGAAAAGTTGATAAATGCTGTCATTTGCATATTTTACAAGAGAGTCCCTAAATTCCACTTAGGGGTAGAAATGGAAGAAAGCATTGTACCATTTAATACGTAATTTTTCATCTGATCACATTTTGACAATACGTATTATATCAACTATTATGTCACCCGCGTTTCAACAAAATAGTTTTACTCTAAAATATGTACATTTAACGAGCATGTGGGTGGTGGGCCATGTGATTTAACGGCAGAATGCTTTTTCTTTTCTTTTCTTTTTTTAAAGAAAATGGGGGAATAGACGAGGTTTTAACATGTGAAATTCCTTTAACACTTTACAATTGGATTTAAGAAACCAAACAAGCCATAAATTTGTAATAATGGATTTAAGCATTATTAGTGGAAGAAAAGCTAAATATGAGACAATTATTTTGTAATAATCCCATGATGTTTGGCTTGACTTTATTCTTGATTTCTTATTACCAGAAGATATCCTTAAAACCTATAGTCAAAGAAATATTGTTTTAAAAACTAATAGACTGCAATTTATTTATTTATAAAAGGATAAACAGATGCAGTATATAGCATTTATACAACCCCATTACAAAAAAGGCATTAGAAAAACTTCCTCTAAATCATTTCATTGCCCTTTCTTCAGCCTTTTCAAACCATTTAAGACGGCCACGTCGGTATTAAACAAGATTGGACAGTATAATGGACAATTATTTATTTACCGTTCAATACTGTCCGATCCAGAGATGTGCATTTATAGTACGTCATGGAGAAGTAGCACCTTTGAAGATGAGAAAGTTCAGAGTCTCCAATGTGAAATATATGAAAGTCCCTTCAGTATGTGTAAAAAAGCATCCAAAGTTTGATCCCACCACACATTGCCATCCATTCCCATATCTCTTATCAAACTCCTGCCAACACAATAAAACCACAATTTTGAGGGAAAAAAATTTCTTGAAATTTTCACACGTGCACTACAAACTCAATAAAATCGAGATAGAAACACGGGATTAAATCCGTGTTACACGTAACTCTAAAAGAAAATATTATAAAACTTTTTACACGAAAATATTTTTCACTTTTTTTAAAAAAAAACCTCTATTCCTAATAATTATGGGGTATGAGTCGTGTCGAATAGATAAAGTTTCAAGCTCTATGTTACTCGTTAATTTATCACGACTCTCATCCTTTACCCAGACTTGGAATCGACCATAATTTAAAAATCTATAACGATAGACATATAGACATGAAAAAGAAAGAAGTATATTTCACTTTCTTTAAAAATTATGGAGCATGGTCATGTCGAATTGACAAAGTTTCCGGCTTTATGTTACTTGTTAATTTATCATGACTCTCCTCTCTTATCGTGACTTAGAATCGACTAACAAAAATCGTCAAAGCGAATATTTTAAAATCTAAAACAATAGACATGAAAAAGAAAGAAGTATTGATATCTCACTTTCTTGATGTGGGCAGCAATGGATTTGCAGTCCATAACATCATAGAGATCCAGAGCTTGAGAAGCAGAATCCATAGCTTGAATCTGCATCTTCAATGGCATATCTGTATCTTCTATCAAAGCTTTTCCTTCCAACATTTCTATCTTCAAATTAAATCCCACTTCTACTCCAAGATTTCTGATAAAAGCCCAGATTTTTATATAACTGTACTCAGTAGTAATCCAATTTCTGTAGGTATATTTGTGTGTATATATAGGTGGCATCCAAGTGTGAATAAACTATTTGCTGTTTATTCTGGTGGTGGCACATAGTCCAATTTTTTTTACTGTCTTCTTATTTTTCCTCTCTTTAAGGAGTTTTCAACATTATTCTATGTTTGACAGTGATCATCATAAGTGGATAGAGATGTGGTGGAATGTGGATAAAGCTGGTGAGGTCTAAAAAAATCCCAAGATTTTTTATAAATTTTAGTCTATAATTAATTTGCTACTTTGTTAAAATTTTAGATTCAAATAAATAAGTCACAAGTTTGTGCTCCAACTTTTAAAATTTAATTTTTTTAAAACTCATTTTTAATCTTACTTATCCCAACAAAACCTAAAATTTACACTACTTTATAATCATATATTATCTACAAAAATCATTTTTTACAAATTTCGTTCTTAAAAAATGGAGGTCAAACAGGGGCTAAATGTGTGCGTATTTACAATTTATGTAAATATATTAAAGTTATAAAAGTAGTTTTATATAGTATTGGATGTGGTAGAGATCTTTAGTTAAGTTTTATTTTTACTGATTTATGATAATCGTAAACATGTCACATTTGATAAAAGGATAAATATGAGATGCACAAATATGTTCGTCACTAAATTCAAATGTATTGTATTTCTAATTTTACTTTTTAAATAGATTGATAATTATACGTAAAAATGAGAGAAAATAGAAGAAAAAAATAATTCTTTAATTCGATATACAATTTGTAATAAAATTCAACTGTATCCAAAATGCTAGTAATTGAAGCTAAAAGTAATCCAAAAAAAAATCATTCTTTATTTCGATATACAATTTATACTCTTCTCTTATTCGTTTTGGAGTTTATAAATTTTTTTGTAATAGATTTACGTTTATAAACATTCCAAAATTCCAACACTAACCATGCCATTGTAAGGAGTGCTAAACAAAAATAGATAATACAATAAATACTTAGAATAAAATTTTAATTTATTCTTATTATTGTATCAAATATAGCACCCGTTTGGCCTCCATTATTCCACGTTATAATGAGAAGAATAATAAATTTTTGGAGAATGTGTGATTTTAAAAATGAGAGAAAATAGAAGAAAAAAATCATTCTTTAATTCGATATACAATTTGTAATAAAATTCAACTGTATCCAAAATGCTAGTAATTGAAGCTAAAAGTTATCCAAATAAAAAAAAAAATCATTCTTTAATTCGATATACAATTTATACTTTTCTCTTATTCTTTTTGGAGTTTATAAATTTTTTTGTAATAGATTTACGTTTATAAACATTCAAAAATTCCAACACTAACCATGCCATTGTAAGGAGTGCTAAACAAAAATAGATAATACAATAAATACTTAGAATAAAATTTTAATTTATTCTTATTATTGTATCAAATATAGCACTCGTTTGACCTCCATTATTCCACGTTATAATGAGAAGAATAATAAATTTTTGGAGCATGTGTGGTTAAAAAAGAAAGATTTTTTTTAATTTTACGTGTAATATTATTTTATTGGAGAATGTGTTGTTGATAATAAGAAAGAAAGTAAATTATAATTTAATGAGGAATAATGAGGATCAAATGGGAGCGTACATAACAGATTTTTGATTTCCATTTTTTGGGTAAAATGTATTCAGAAATAATGCTTTATATGTGTGTGTGTGTGAGAGAGAGAGATTAAAAACTAAAAAATATATATTTTAAAATACATGTATAATTATTTTATGAAGGAATATGTGATAGAAAATGAGTTTTTAAAAAAATATATTCTTGAAAAAATTGAGCTCAAATAGGGGTATAATGCTTCCGTTTGCCCGCATCATTTGTCATTTTAGCCCCCGTTTGACACCCATTAATTTCTCTTTCTATTTTTCATTCTCATTCTCATTCTTCATTTCAACCACACATTCTCCAAATAAAATAATATTACACACAAATCAAAAACTTTTCATCACTTTTTCACCACACATTCTCACATCAATCACTATTCTAAAATTTTTATTCTCNATCACTTTTCCACCACACATTCTCACATCAATCACTATACAAAAATTTCTATTTCTCCCAAAATGGGTTTCAAACAGGGGCTTAATTTTTGAAATAGTATTTTTTTAAAGAACATGTGCTTAAAAAAGAAAAAATATATATATAAATTTACGTGTGATATTATTTTATTAGAGAACGAATAACTAATGAGAAGAGAAAAAAAAATTAATTATAAATTTAATAGAGGAAAGGTCAATATTCTTTATCTTATGTTATCTAATAAAAGCATCCTACGTAATGTCTACTTTACATCCATGTCAATGTCCCTACATGAATCCTTTTCCACAGTCTGATGTGAAGGCAGTCTAGAAAATGAGAAAAGTATATGACGACCTGTAAAGATTCCTTTCCAACAAGAGGTGGACCCACGGTTTCTCCTTTTGAATATTTGATTGTTTTCCACCCAAACAAATCTATCAACATTATTAAAAATTACAAATAAATAAATGCACTATACTTTTGCTATCAATAATCTATATACTTTTTGCTCACATAGAGACAGTACAATAAGAATAAACTTGAGTACTCAACAATCTTAAGTTAAAAACACACGTAACATCAAGTTGCAGAACAGTAATATACCGTGGATACACCAAATGTCACAATAAGATTTAATTAAGTTCTTCGTAATCTTGGGTAATTCTAAAAATTTCACCCAAAGTCCTTTCACTTCCCTACCTTCTTGTTCTTACCTCCGAGTAGTATGTCGACAATCAGGCTTCGGGGCGCATCTCTTGAGTCGTCCTTAGATAGTCGCTGCTGGAGCACGAGGCGGGCAGACCAAAATCACTGGTGGGTCCACTGCATTCGCTCGAATTGTTGTGTTCAACGCTTTCTAGAGCCATCTTCTTGAATTTCTGCAGGTCCTCTTTGTACTGAAAGGTATCATAAGTGGCTTCAAAATCTGAGCTCCCGTGAGGATCATATATTGCGCTGCGTCCAGGTCGTATGCCATCGTTTAAGTCGTCCAGGGATATTTTTCCTTCTAAAGCTCGAACTATCTGCATCACAAAAGTTACTGTGATGTAAGAGTTGGTAAATGAGTCCTTAGAATAAGTTACTTTTTCATTGGTCAAAGTAATTCACACGTTTATGGAAAAGAAAAGTAAATTAAAAGTAACTCATATTTTTATTTAAGCTTAGCCAAACAAGCTTACAAGATGCTAAGCTAATAAGCAGACGTACCAGATTCATCCGTGGCCTCCGCCGTGCCAAATGACGAATACATACAGAAGCACAAGCAACCATTCGAGCCATCTCAGTGGAGTCATAATCCTTCTCCAATGTTGGATCAGCTAGAGTATCAAAGTTGCCAGTATCCAGAGCTTGTGTAAGCAAAGGCCTAGCCTACATTAACGAGAACCTAAGTTACCTTTTCGAAGTCACTGAACGATACCAAAGTGTACCCAACCAAATGAAGAAAATACATTTCTTTCGGTAAAAAAATGAAGGAATAAGATAAACTGCACAATGGTACGGGGTAGGTCCAGAAAATCCAAAGCCAGATGTCTGTTTTTTGGGGAAAGTACAAAATGAATTTTGGGTTTGTTTCCACGTAAATGAAGAGGAATCCTACAAAACCATAATGTGGAGAAGAAATAGACTCACCCAATCAACGATATTACCATCAAGGTAGGGTTGACCTTTATCAATTGGTCTATGTCCAGTGATCAACTCCAAAAGCACGACTCCAAAGGAGAAGACATCTGACTTATCTGTCAGTTTGCCAGTGAGAGCATACTCTGGAGCTAAATAACTGCAAGTGTCAAGATATGATTAAATGAAGTTCATAACAAGATCAGACCATAGGATTCTTGACACTCGAAATGGGATATTCTAAAACTAAATTATAGCTTTAGCATGACATTCAAGTATATAACTTCATAGATATTACAGCGTCAGAATGAGGAGAAGAAATCTTCTGAAAGCTCACCCAAAAGTTCCCATCACACGGGTAGAGACATGAGTATCAGTGTCAGAATAGAACCTGGCAAGCCCAAAATCTGCTACCTGAAATAAGATATAGGAAGCTAAATATTAATCATGAAACATAGTAAATTCAAGACAAGGAGAACAATCAATATGCAAATGTTACATTAATAATAACCAAAATGAACCAAATTTGGCCTAACTAAACCTGAAAAATCATACAAACAGTGGTTTTGTTCACCAGGAAATAATGCTTTCGAGACAAAATTAGAAAAAAAATGTCGCATTCATTTGAGCTGTTTCCCATATTCTACTTCTCAGAATGAAGCAAACAAACAAAATCTAAAATTTTTTGGCTTATACAGCTACAAAATCCCAGTGAAAAGGTAGAAATGTCGAAAAAAAGGGAAAGGGAGCACTTTGTCTTTCCTGCCTTGAATAGTGGCTTGGCATAAGAGATCTTATGAATTGACTTATACCAGATAACCAGAATGACACCTAAAAATAAATTAAAACGTGCCAGGCATATGATATTTAATGCATTCGTCTAAACCATCTCTTGCATTTACATAAGAGCGATATAATCAAAATCAAAGTTAGAAGAGGAAGAGGAATTAATAAGAGTTGATGAGGTTGTAAATAATTTGATTTTATTGGGTTTTTTGGTAAACGACAGAAAACAGATTGGAGGAAAAGGATTTATGAGTTGAACCAAATAGATTGGGAATAAGGTATGTGCTTAACTAACAGTGCTTCTCATTAGGAATCATTACATAATTCTTGTACTGATAAACAAAACCCTTTGGCAGAGTGCAATATTTTAAACTTTTTGTAGCATAGTATTATTAGAATGATATGTAAACGGCAGAAAAAATAAATCTAAGAAGTAACTTCAATTTTGAAGAGATATAATACACATATACTGATACCTTGGCATCAAAATTGGCATCGAGAAGAATGTTAGCAGACTTGATATCACGGTGTATAATCTTAGGTTGACCTGCATGTATAAAAAACTTCAACATATTTAAGTGATTACTACACTACACTAAATTAATCGAAGAAGAATATGAAGAAAACAAAAATATATAGCTGATAGTAAAGAGAACTCTGCGGAAAAACTCACTGGTGTCATGCAGATATGCCAATCCATTTGCAGAACCTACAGCAACTTTCATCCGAGTCTCCCAGTTTATAGGAGGCTTCTCCTTCCCTGCATTAGTTCTCTCTATCAAGTCATATTTAAAGAAGAATAGACCTTTAACACTTAGATACCAAGATGTACCTAATAAATTTAGGGAGCCAAAGTTGAGAAAACAGAATTCAAACTTGAGATCAGAACAGTTTTCTTTTAAAAATCACGTTACAGACAGAAAAACAAAATGAAACTGAAAATAAGTTGAACCGTTTACACAGAATAAGAAGCGCTAATTCTGTTAGTTATTTCCCAACCATCAGATTTACACCGTGGAAGGAAAAACCTTCAAACAAAACTTTCGCAAGTGGAGATTCTTTCCTTCGGCTCCACTATCAAGGGGCATCCCCAAATTTAAACCAAACTGTCTCAAACACATTTTAGTTAAGTGAGTTTAAATTGATCTCATCCTCTAGGTTACCACAATACTAGTTCCATCTCAACTTAAGCAAAAGTCATGCAGAAAAATAATGATAGAGTCACCAATTTAGTCACGTATTACTAGCTTACTTCACTGCTGAAAGGACTTTCAAATGAAACAGAGATCAAAAACTGCATCCTACATTTATCTATCCTCTAATAAGTAAAATGCGAAACATTTTAAGAATATACTGCAGAATAATTGAACAGCTCCAGGTTCAGTTGCATCCAAAATTCTCATAATAGGATAAGGCTTTTTTACAGGAGAGATAAACCCAGCGGGTAATCAGTGTCATCACAAAGTTTTTCATTGCATAGTCCAGTCTACTAGCTTCCCAATTTATATGGATAATAACTTCCTCAACATTTTTCATCATCTTTTATCAGAAAGCTCTGTACAACTGGTAGAATATCATAGACATATATTGTAACCTGTGGCACACATGTAAAAAATTGATGCTTTTAAATTTAAACAACTGCTTTTGCACCAGCTTTGTTGTTTCAGGTTAAAGGCATTGATGTTAGAGATTTATGGTCCATTTTATTAAAAGTGGCAGTAGATTATGTCAACTTCCATGGCTTTAAATGAGTCAAAAACTTCAGAGGCTTACCATGCAAGTGGAACTCCAAGGTTTTATTAGGAACAAATTCATATACCAGCAGTCTCTCTGCCTCTGAAATGCAGTAGCCAACGAGTGATACTAGATGCTTGTGATGAACGCGACTTATGGTCTCAACCTCTGCCTGAAATTCACGCTCCCCTTGACCACTTCCAGCTTTTAGCTGTTTAATTGCAACCTCTTTCCCATCACGAAGTATTCCCTTGTGCACATATCCAAAGCCACCTTGACCAAGGAGGTTGGTGCTGGAGAAACCATTTGTGGCAAGTGCTAGCTCTTCATATGTGAACGTAGTTATTGTGAAACTCAAACAAGTATTAGTGCTTGGTGGTGGAACAGGCTCCTCACAGCTCAAGCCGCTATCTATAGAAGGTGGCGGGGGCGGATTAGAACCGTCCATCGAAGGCAGCTGGTGATGCGACAACATGCTAGGTTTTGGCAGTATTCCAGCCATGTTGCCAGACAGCGGCGGAGCAGTCTGTTGCCAGTGATGGTGTGGACCACTGAAAGAATCTATAAAAGGAAAATGCATGCTTGAATTGAATTTATGCAATCAATATAAAACAGAGCAAAACAATTTTTTGGTGATTGAAAGAGAGAGTTCACACAAATAATGATATGAATTTCACATTTTAGATCATTCATGAATGGACTTGGATTGCTTCTGCAATCTTGAATTGAAGTGTTTTTGACTTGAGGCACTTCACAATATTGTTGGCAAAACATCATTTGAGCAGTGCCATGCAATATACCAGCAATTAGCAAATGGATCTTAAAATAAATATGTAACCTTTCCCATCGTACTAATGATTGCTAGCCTCATCTTTGACACCTTATAAACTTTTGTTATTACAGTCCCTGTGTTTATATATATATTTGTATTTCATTGTTACTGGAACACCCGAAAGCATCTTATCCCAATATCTTCAATAAACAATAATTTTCGAGATTCTTTTGTATAATCCTTATTGTCAAAACTACCACAGTAGATACCCAAATCAACAAACTGATCAAAATCTTTAAATTGGGAGACTAGAGACACAAAACAAAACAACCGACGAACCAATAAGAATTCAAATTGTTTCATTTCAGCAGCATCTTTAATGTAATACTGATGCATGAGCATAGTAGCAAGTAATAAAGTAAAAAGACCCAAACATTCCAGTAACTAAAATCCAAATGACACCAGTGAATTAATCTCTCTATATATTAATTATTTCATATTGATGATTTTAGGCAGTAATGAAAGCGATACACTTATTTGATTCGTTGCATTAGTTTCTTCACTACACTCGCATCTAATATACAATTAGGCATCAAAGAGAGAGATTATGTAAAAATCCGTCCAAGTGAAACCTAAAATCTTCGAGAAAAACGGAATCCATATTCATCAATTCAAAGCATAAAAATTGTGTTTACCTTTCGGCCCTTGCTCAGGAGCATAAGCAAAGTCGTTCAATCCAAGGCGCCTGTTTCTCCTCTTGTACCAAAGGACGAAAATGCCCACGCAAACGAGCACAATTGCCCCGCCTATGCCAATCCCCACACCCAGAGCTAACAATGTAGTATTTCTGTTCGATGAGCCAGGCGGGGGTGGTGGTATTGGTGGAGGCGGAGCCACCCCCGGAGTCAAATTACCAGGAAGAGGAGCAGTAGTTGCATTAGTGGAGTTCACCGGAGTAGTTGGATTGGTTGCATTATCCGGAAGAGAAGGTAACGGCGGCGGAGGCGTTGAGGGTGGAAAAGTCGGAAGATCACCCCCAACTGGCGGTGAAGACATCGCCGGAGTTCAGCGTTTCCGATTTCCGGCGATTACTTTAAGAGAATTTGTTTTATTATTAAATCTTTCCTGGGATCTTTTGTAGAGAAAGAAAATGGAGAGTAGAAGCACTGAGACTGAGTAGAACTGAATAGAAAACCCAACCCGAATTCCGTCGTAATGATGGAAGGTACAGAAACCACGAGTAGCTGTCACTTGAGTGGATTTGGAACTGGCAACGGGCATGAGGTGACGTCGTTTTGTGTATCTCACTTTCAGTATATATATTTTTTGAAACCTTATTTATTTAGAATTATTTAGTTGCCTAAAATAATTAAAATAAGATATTTTGAAAACTTTCCTTTTGTGCGCATAGCCATAAAGCCCGTCGTACGATACGAGGAATCGACATATCACGTGATCAACTCGTGTGTTAAAAATGATTTCGGAAAATTGCACTATTGGTCCTCAATCTCAACACTTTCTCAATGATTTGGTTACACTTCTAAATACATATATATTGAACTAGACAACGTTCAACGAGCATGACACGTTATTATGAAATGTTTTATAAGTGTTGTAAAAATAAAATTTAAATATGCATGAATGTTGATTAATTTAGAATTAATACCAGGGAATATATACGTGACAATGAATGTTAAATCATTTATTTAATTTTCAATTAAATAAAACTGGATGTTAATTAGCATATATAAACGTAAATAACGAAATGCATTCTTGATTACGGAATTCTAATTAACTTATAATTGGAATTAATAACGCTGAAATGTATAAATGAATATGAATGTAAATGTTAATTAATTGAGAATTAATAATAGGGAATTCGTGCATTAAAGAAAGCACATAAGTTAAATGAATATGTCAAGTGTATATGTACATTGATGGTGACTAAATGGTTAAATAAATTTAAAACATATTGAAAAACGAAAAGTAAGGTATTACTGAAATAATTGAATTATATCAGGGTTGAATCGTCCAAAAACGATTCTCATTTAATGTAATATTTAATATATTACAGATGGGTGGACAAATTACAATTTTCATTTGATTACCATATTTAGAATTAGAAATTAATTGTTTTTGGAAAAGAATCAATATAACCACCATTGCATTTATTTGTCTATCAAATAAAATGTCAGTTATAATTCAGACAAAATCTCTAATTTATAAGGGGTGATGTACCCGTAGCATTATTCTTACCAAAATTACAATGATGTATTGTAAAAAATAAATTAGATATTTTCTGACTGGTTAAATTACATATTTGTCCCCACCCATTTGATCCTCGCAGCAACTTTAGCCCATTTTTTTGTTTTTTTTTCCTTGGCACCATTAACTCTAATTTTTCATTAATTAACGCTGTCACTACTAACCCCGACCTTTCAATAATAGTGGGCACAAGAAACAGAAATTAAGGTCCGTTTGATTGGTATATGTGGAAAGACTTTTCAATTCTATCTAAGTTGAAAAATAAAAAATCAAGTACCACATAGAAATGCATTTTTCATGAAAGTGACAAAAAAACAAGTTTAGCGTATGTCTGGTGGTGATTTTTGAACCCAAAAAATCAATTTTCCAACCGTTCGAAAGCCACTCAGCCATTTTTTTTTACCACCTTCCCTCACGGGTGGGGCCTACTTGGGGATAGTAACGGTCCATTAATCAATTGGGGAATCAGCCCCAGACGACCCATTAAAGTGATTCTACCTTAAAATTCGAACTTCATTTTCACTTTCGTATCAAACAGCCAAAGTAGAAATTGAATTCCTCGAATGTGATATTTTTCATGGAATTTAAACCAATCAAACGGACACTTAATGAAAGGTTAAGGATAACGATGCTATGAGAAAAATATTGGAGACAAAAATGCTATAAAGGTTAAAAGTTGAGGATGAAATTTGTAATGATCT